GTTCGTGTTAATTCTCATATATATATATATATATATATATATATATATATATATATATATATATATATATATATACTCTTCAGAAATAGTTACATAACAAATTCTTGATTGATATTAACCTATTTTCATTTCACAATTTTCAAATTGTGAACAAATTGTGTGCTAACTGACCTTCATTCATAGTCTCGTACTTCGAACGAATATATTAAATAAGAACATAATCGCAAAGAAATAAAAAATGTCGCAGAATTTAAATGAAAAATGAATTATTCTGTATTCCGAAAAATATAACTTGTCGGTACAAACCCTTTGCGATTAAAGCGTATTATATTTTAGCCTGATTTAATATTTGCAATATTTTGTTGTGTTGCACATTCGCAACAGTGAAAAATCAAATAATTCCTCTTAAGATCAATGTAAACGTGGCTACTGTGTAATATGTATATTAGTTGACGACGGTAAGCTTATGGTGTTACGTTACTTATTTCTTACATTGGAAAATATAATTAAAAGGTTCTTAATTCGTAAGGGTTAATTCAACGAGACAATGAAAAATCGCGGAATACAGAAACTCACCTGTGGCAATGTGCCCTGAACCAGTGTTGGAATGTCGTCTTTCTTAAATCCTAATTTTGTCAGACCATTCTCGATTTTCATTTCGTTCATGTACTGTTTCACTGTGTCAGCCAATATTTTGCCAGCGTCTTCCTTCTTTGCTCGGTTGATGTCAGCGCCAAGCAGCTCGGCAGCCTCCAAATGCCGTTCCGGGCATGCACTTCCGGTGAAGGAGAACACAGCAGGCGCTGATATAACGACCGAGAGACCGTGTGGCAATATGGGATGATCTTTGGTGTAGCCCTGAAATAGTTTCATAATGTAACATTGCACCTTCACTGTGGAATTTTCTAAATTTTTATATTGCTCAATAAACGTTTGTTGCAAGAAAAGATATCGTTACAAATCACATCTAGAAGATTTATTTTTCCATTAAAAATGGATCTTTTTATTGTTATAATATTCATAAAAAAAAATTTCTAGAATTTTATATTATTTAATAAATGTTTGTTGCAAGTAAGAATATCATCGTAAATTACGTCTATAAAATTTATTTCTCTATTAAAAGTAAAAACGATATAAACAGTAAAACCTTCAAGGGATTTCAGAATATTGTTGAACTTTTCTCTACTTGTTTTAATTAATTATAAAAGAGCTTAATGTTTAATGGATTTCTGCTTTTTGCAATTACCTCAAAAAATCTTGACTTTGGATAAAAATCTAGTGTACGAACGAAGGTTGTCTCAATACAATGATTTATCAATTTTGTTTAGATGTTATTAACCCAGCCACGTAACAAATTATATAGCAAATTATCTACTAAGATAATGTACGAATATTTTGCATAATAAAACATGATTTTTAATATTTTCGTTGCTGAAAATTAATAATTGCAATCTTCGCTGACTTCGCTTCTAAAATTTGCATATAAATGTTTAATAAAGTAGTTCGATTTCGCTCGTATAAATTTCTGCGTTGTTTACTTAAAGATAGCGTAGCTGGTATTTTACAGATCCGATTGAAAATTCAAAGACGCTATTGCTACCGAAAGTACGAGAACTTTTGAAGCAGTTACCTCTGGTTGAAAACTTCGCACGTTTCCGCTAATAGGGTAAGAGAGCCCGTGGCACAGGTGCACACCAGCATTACCAAACCCAACACCCGCCATAGTACTTGCAAGATGCATGTTACTTCTTGCTTCGAGATCGTCCTGGTTGTAAACTGCTCTTGAGAAATATCTGGGAATAAGAAAACAGTAATCAATACCATACCGATCAAATATTAGCATTAAATTTTTCATTCAGAGAATTTGTCTACTACTGATCGTACAATCTACGATAGTAAAAATAGATTATCTTTCAAAAAGTAGAAAAAACAAACATTTATATTATTACAATAATAATTTACTTAATTAATTAAAAGGCCCTTCGTAAGAATGTATTAAACAAATGCAACGTACAATAATTTTGAAATAATTTCTGGTACGTATTAATCGTAAATTTTTCTATTATTCAGATAGTTAGCAAACATTTTATTCTGTTTATTATTGTATTTGATGTTTTCTTATTACAACTATCATCTAGACTAATACGTTTTACTTGAGATATTTTATTTCACTATTATCGAAATTCTCCATTTATTTTATCTTTACCGAAGCTCCCTTTGTACGAAATTATTAAACAAATTCAATATAAAACTATTATTAAATAATTTCTAGCATATATATCGATAACTTTTATAAATTATTCTAGCGTTTAGAGACTTGAGAGATATAAACAAAGTTTAAGATGAACGAAAGCAAACATTTTGTTCTTTTTCCTTGTCTTGTCCCCATGTTTCTCTAATTTTTGCTTCCAGTTGAATTCTGCTTACTTGCGCATTGTTTGAAGGGCAAATTTCGACCATACATCGCTGACAGGATTGCTGCCCTGATAAGCTGGCCTGAGAATTGGATTTGTAGGACAGGGTGTCCTCTCCGAGTACGGTATCGCAGTGAAAGATTCAAGGGCGTGACAGAGAACATCGAAACCGGAATACGCGCAGACCCTTTCTGGCATTGTCAAGGTGTGCTCCGGATCAATTAAGCCTAGAGTGGGTTTCAAAGCTCTGCACTCAAAAAGAAAAATGTACGTTAAGAAATTTGTACGTTCAACATGCTTTGCAAAACGTTTTGAACAGACAAGTGGAAACAGATAATTTTCTCGTGTATTAGATTCGTCCCGTTCTTCAACGGAATTCTTATTCTTCTTCCATCTGATTTCCTTTCAAATGATTTTTCTGTCTTTCTAAGCTCGAAATACAGTAAATTCTCTCCAATTGTCTCTCAGTTTGTATGCAAAAATGGACAATTTGAGAAGAGAAGATACGATTGTTCGAGCCTCGCGGCTCGTTTACGTAGCCGCCGATTGTCAAGAACTATAAAAACGAACCACGAGGCTCGAATAATCGTATCTCCTCTTCCTAAATAGTCCATTTTTGTTTACAAACTGAGGGACAATTGGAGAGAATTTATTGAACCCTGATCTACAAAAAATTCCTTTTGGCTTAGCGTGACAATATCTGTATTAATTCAACGAACGGCGTGCACTGAATTAAAAGCTCCGTCTTAATTGAATTTTTATTTCAATGTTATAATATTCATTAATTTATTTACTTGTTACTCAAACAGTAAAAGATACTCAAACAAAGTTCAGAATTCTTTCATGTTATTTGCAACGTATTTAAATTATAAAGACAAAAAGCTTTCCGTGCAGTTTTTGTTCCTTGCAATCGACGTATAGCGTTTTTATTTTGTATGAAATTTGTTTACGACGCTATTTATAAATACAACTATTTGTTTTCAATGCCATTTTTTGCAGTAATTTGTATTACAGCAGTTCATACTATAATGACAATTGAACAACGCACGACTTCTTTAATTAATTATATAGCAATTCTAGTCCACAATCTTATTTTCAAAATATTTTGTGATCTAAAATTGTGGTCTAAAATTTTCAATAAAAATCGTTTTAATATTGGTATTATTATGTTTATAACATGTGCTAATCATAAATTCCATTGTCTTTAAAGAATTGTTATTGCATACTACTGAAAACGTGTACAGACACGTGCACAAATATACAAGATAGTCCACCTAGATATTTCCTTCAGGTATAATAACAGAAAGATATTTTTTATAAGTTAAAGTTACTGATATTTTATATAGGTTGATCGTATTAGAACACAGTAATCAATTTTTAAATAAATAAATAGCTACACTGAAATCTTATTGTCATTACATACTTTTCAACTTATCTGTAACATGAGCTATAGAATTCAGTTTATCGTGACACTGATAATTTAATTATCCATCGTAAGCGTATATAGACTAGCTACACTGAAATCTTATTGTTATTACATACTTTTCAACTTATCTGTAACATGAGCTATAGAATTCAGTTTATCGTGGCTCTGATAATTTAATTATCCATCGTAAGCGTATACTTTCAACAAATTGCAAGTTAATTGTTACGATCGCTCATTCATCGTAAGCAGTAATTCAGTTTGTAATTTGTCAAACAACGTTTTACCTATTGGCGATACCGGTTTTGGCTTTCAAAGGTCGATAATCAAAGATGGAGACACCTGTGGTTTCCGATCCAGTACCGGAAGTCGTCGGTACAGCGACCAATGGTTTCAATGGCACCACGACCGGTTTTGCTTTGCCGATAGGCGCGTTCACGTAATCCAGAAACTCGGCCTGTGGATCGCAGCTGTAAAGATTTGCCGCCTTGCAGGTGTCCATCACCGAGCCACCGCCGACCTACTCGAAAATTAATTTCACATGAAATTCGTATAACAACCGTGCGCTTTAAAATTGTTCTCTTCAAACTGTCAGAGCATACTTCGGTACATCGAGTTATTATCGAGAATCGAGAGCATCTTACCGCTATAAAAGCATCAAAATTCCCACGCTTCGCATAATCGATGGCGTCTTGGAGACTCTGCTCTGTGGGCTCAACGCGTACCCTGTCGAAAACCTCAAATTGGATCCCAGCTTTCGCGAGACTGTCCATGGCAGTTTTAACGGGCAACAAGTTCACCAGGTTGGGATCCGTCATCAAGCATGCCTTTTTCGTGCCCATGTTCTGCATGTCCATACCCAACTCTCTGGTGACGCCGACGCCATATCGTATCGTCGAGCATGCCATCTGTAATTACCTTTAATATGTATTTTATAATTGCTGCTGCCCTTTCGAAATAATATTAACTCTAATTATATTAATATAATGATGATATGATAATATATTAATTATTTATATTATATAATTATACAATATATAT